TGTACGTCTACGAGACATACAGGTCAATGTAAGGTATACGTTGTTTGCTATTCCTGGGTATGAGTTCCCTTCTTCTATCCTCTGCCAAACTAACTAAAACTTAACCTAAAATGTATATAGTAAAAATAGAAGGGACATGGAAACAATAGTGATACAGTTATAATGAGGGAAAAGCACATAAAATATAATTTCGTATGTTATTCTGTTAATTTTCTAATAGCATCCTCACAAGGGTAAGTCTGTAGAGATACAACTTAATTGTATAATGTAGTTTTTTTATTTGTAGTACGTTTTGATAAAGAGCTAAATATACTCGACAGCTCAGCAAACCTTAAAGAGTTTATAAAGACCAATATCTGACTACAAACCATGTATATACACCATAACAAGGGGTGTTGTATTGTTTCGTTTACTTTTTTTTATTATACATGCTGTTGTATTTTCTTATAAAATTCATTAACACACTTCTCTTTAAAATTAAGTTGATACAGACACCTGAGATTCACACGAAAAAATTAGTTGATCGACACTGAGATTCACACGAAATAAGTTGATTTGTTAAGAGTTCATTTCTTTTTTTCCTTTCAAAATCTTCATGAAACCAGATGAATTTTTTGATACTAGAGGACTGCCATTGGACACATCTTTTACTGTTAAATATTTCAGCAATAAAGATAAATGCTGTTGAATGCTTAAAATCGCCTATAAAGCAACATAATCATGACAACAAAAGGAAATTTTGACCGAATTCTGGCCAAACTTTATAATACTCAATTGCTGTCACGCTTAAGCTGCATAAAACGAATGGTTCACCTTCACAGGAAGCTCATGAAGATCTGAAATGAAATTTGATCCTTTAACGCTTATAATTTACAAAACTAGTATCAATTCATTTACACAAAGTAAGTTAAAACAAATAGTTATTGTATAATAAAACAGAAATAGTAATAAATAATTGAAATTACCTTTATACTTACATGGAAGTTTTCAACATTGTCGAATTTTAATAAGCAAAAATTACTATTGGACACGAATCTGCCTAGCATAATGGCGTCAATTGTTGGAAAATTAGTACTATTTACTTTGCTAAGTCCTCTTTCCATAAGGAATTATACTTATTTTGAAATATATATCATAAAACCGAAGTTTATGTTGGTTCTATTCTACGAAAATGACAACAACAATAAAGTACAGTACAACCTCGTTTAACCAGACTAACTGGGACTGGAAGCGATCCAGTAAATCGAAAATCCGCAAATATAATAAGGTTAATAAAACTATATGTGAAATGATAACTTACTATATTTACACCCTATATGATTTACGTTAGCATTAGTTTTTATTTAAAAAAAGTCATTGATCTTCCTTTGTTTTAAATTTGTGTGACGTTTCAATGCGACACGATCACGTAAACGTTTCACCATCATTAGTTCAGCTGGCGTGGTGCCTTGTTGTTATTCCAAATACGCCATGATGTTGTTCAGCTGTGACGTCGCGTCCGCGTATGTCATCTCTGGCCGTACGCTGTCTCCCTCCGCCTCGCCCTCGATGTCGTCTACTTCCTGAGTATAATTGTACACGCTGTAATTATTTCGTCATCTGTAATGACACCATAACCTCCCTCGTTGTTGTCTGATAACCAATAATTGACGTTGTTGTCTGATAACCACATTTGGGGGAGAGAAATTTAACTTTAATATCCCCATTTATGAGATCTTCTTCTGCAGGATGAGGTGGGTGCATTGCCGAGAAACAAAATCGCTTTTTCAGGCAGTTTGTCTTCTTTGCGGAATCTTTTCACTTCAGGGACGAAATTCTCAAAAAACTACTATTTAAAAATAAAGCTGTCCATTCACGCATTTTTTTGATTTTGATACACTACAGGCAGATATACACGATTTACATTTTTAAGTGCACCGGGATTTTTTGACTTCCCAATTATCACTAGTGGAAGTTTATGGTTACCAGAAGCATTGCTACAAGCCATAGCAATTAACCGATCCTTGCTTTTTTTTGTAAGCCTTGGCTGATTCCTCAACTTTAGAAGCCAAAGTTTTGCTAGGTAAAACAGTCCTGTTTCGTCCGCACTGTAAATTTGGTCAGGTGACAGGTTCTCAAAAGAAATAATTTGTTGAAATTTATCCTTACATCGTTCACTGCCTGCCTGATCACTAGAAATGCTTTCGCCAGTGACGGATAATTGTCGCATGCAATGCCCATTTTTGAAACCGCTCTAGCCATCCCTGGCTAGCTCTAAAATTTGGATCTGAATTTGGTAATTTTTTGTTCAAGTTTGCCGCTTTCTCAGGCAAAATCGGCTCAGAAATAGGGACACCACGTTCTCGCTGAGCACTATACCACATAAATAATGCCGCGTCCAACAATTCATTTTTAGATTATTTTCCAGTCCGACACTGTTGATGTCCTCACACCGAGCTCTGCAGAAAGTTTATTTAAATGTTCGTCTCTGTCGATTCGGTTCTAACGCATCTAACTTTTTATCCATTGTAAGCACATTTCGTTTCCGTTTCGACGACATTTCAATGCACACACGCACGAATATCCGATCACAGTGTTACAAAATATACACCACACAGTACGATAGCAGAGCGATGGGTAGCACGTGACAGACTGACTGACTGTCTTTGTGTCTGGGACTCGGGTCGTCCGCCGTCTCTGTCATTGACAATAGGCGTGGCCTTTGCCGGGGGTGCAGCGGTCATTGCTCCTCGACGACTTTCTCTTTCCAGAGTGTCCCTAGACCGTCCGATCACTCAAGGCAACAAATTAGTGACCGGGAAATCGCATTACATACATACAATTATCAAAATTATTTTTTTAATTTTTCATTCCGGATTGATCCGGACATCCGGATGAACGAGGTTGTACTGTATATCGTGTTGTCTTAACCTTTTCTGAGTTACTGCCTAATTTTGAGGAATTTATTAATATTTTTATTTTGTACCTTCAATAATTTTATTCTGTGTTGTCAATACATTAAACGGTGTAAATAATTAAATATTGATTGGCGGTAATTAGTTTTATTTTGTTTATCATTACGTGGAGTAGTAAATGCAGACCCATGCGCGTTTCTTAATAAAATCAAATAAAGTAAAATAAAACAAAAATTAATGAAATGAAAATAAATGCAATTAAATAAACTAAACTAAAATTAAAAACAATCGCTGCGTGCACGATAAGAAAGCTATGCTTACCGTACTCGGTCACTACCGGAGTGACAATTAGTTTTACTATATCACCACCAAGCAAATTTGAAATTAAAACTATATATATATATATATATATTATATATATATATATATATATATATATAAAATAAAAAAAAAAGAATAAACGAATGAAAAAAAATATATTTACATTTAAGAGAAAAATGTTAATTAACAAAATGAATTCTTATACTATAATGTGCCAGTAAATTTGTTGTTTGAAATTAAAGATTAACTAACCTACCACACATCGTCTGGCTAATTGGCGAAGCCAAAGCCATTACAATAATAAAAAAAAATACAATTAAATATGAGCACGTTTGTGTGGCTGTATAGTCAGCCAGTATAGTATTATAGCCACTTCCAGCCTGTCCAAATCTAACAATTGTGTCCAGACCATTGGGACTTGGATCAGCGAATCGATTTTAGTGAGGTAATTCGTTAGATAGGATTGTACTTGTAATTTTGCATACAAATATATGGTGGCTGGCTTATAAGACAGGAACGAAAAATGTGCACTAAGGTTGGGGAACAGACTATTTATTCATAAAAGATACAAATTTAAAATTAAATACAGAAAATACATTTTTTAAATGTAATGGAAATTTTTACAATACCCTTCGAAGTACAGGGCTGGTCTTTCGTACCATGTTACGTAGAACATCGACTTCCTCTTGTCATTTTTTATTTCTCTTTTCAATTTTTGAGCTAGTACATCTTTCGGATTATCCTTTCTGTTGTCTTTTAGGGTACCACATACGTCAGTTTTGTTTTCAGTTATGATATCCATGAGTTTTACTGAATAATAAAAATTGTCTATACGCAAGACATAGCTTTAAGACATAACTTTTTATACAGCAATTCAGATTTTCAGCAATTTTTTATCAGATTATTAGACTAACATAGTTTGTACAGTAGGTACAATATTTGTGTTTTTTGTTTTTGATATATTGACCAAAGCATCAGTGACTCAGCAATACAAATATTTTTATCGACAGAATAGTTGTTATGCATCACAATGTTAAAGTGAATAAAAATTAGATGTAATAGTTGAAACCAATTTCAACTTATAACATACTCCAAAATGCCAGATTTTAAAATAGAATTCTACTCCAATAGGATGCAATTGTTGGAAGGTAACACGGACCCATATGTAGCAAACTTTTTATTTCTGTTATACATATTAGTGTCCTTCCAAAACGTCATCCTAGAAATTTGCTCTTTTGGATCAAATGTAACTCCTGACGTGTATTTACGATTGTTTGTTTAACTATCAGAGTTAAAAAGTCATCAGAATAAAACAAGTGCACTAATGTTTTTTATATGACAGTTACTCATATCAGTTTTTAAACTTAGTCATTCGGAAAATGTAAAAACAGGAGGATCTTCATTTATATCGATCCACGCATGATGATCAGTATCCACTACCTTTTTGAGTAACTCAAGTAGAAAGGTTATTATTCACGATGCCTTCATTATCTTCCACGTTGTTGATTTCCATGAATGAATCGGCGGTATCACAGGATATATTTAAGTCTTGTCCAGCTTTTAATATAAGTTTTCAATTGTTTGTTGCTGAACTAGTTTCATATTCTGTCGTTTTTTATACATTCCAATAGTTTGAGAACATTTTGCGTTGGTTTACCAAGTATTATTTTATCGTGTCTACGACATTTATATATCACTGATTCTATTTTATTAGAATTAAAGAATATGTTCTTCTCTCTTATTTTCTCTTTTGTACTTCGTAATATACATACTCGAGTCAAAGGGGGGAGGGATCAGCAGTGTTGTAGACTGATCATATATATACCCAGACTCCTTTTCTGATGTCCTCATGTTCTAACTAGAGGCCATCGCATGTGTATCCGTGTAGATTCACCTTCACACTACGAGCTACATTGTAGTAGATCTAGGAAATTATTTTTTATTGTTTGTTTATTTCAGATACCAAGTACGAAATAACTTGCATGGGCTGTTTTTTGCAAAAAAAGTTATTAGTCCGAATTTGGATAAAAGGATAGCTTAGCTCAAAAACTGCATTAGTTAATATTAAACTCAATATTTACAACAACTTTTAAACAATTTTTAAAAATATAACTAAATATCAATTAAAGACATTCTTCATAAGAATGTATTCCATATGAAATTTTTTGTATCATAGTGCTTTTTAAAAGTTTTTGCTGTGCGAAACACTGTAGCAGATAACGCCATCCAGTCAGTTAAAGAATTTGTATAACTCATTGGTGCTATTTTGGGCACAATTCCTTTTCAAATCCTATCAAGAAATACAAAAGCTTTACAAAACAATAATACGCTCAGTCCTAACACACGAATCTGAGACTTGATTTTGAATACAGTTAAACATACTGAGGAGAATTTATAGAACAGTGAAAGACGGTGGTGTGTGGAACTTTAGAGAATATACCACGAACCAGGAGGTATCACCAAACACAATAAAATTCGACGTCTGAGGTGGGTAGGACGTGTAATGTTGATGAAGGAAAATAATCCAGCAAGAAAAATTCTCCTTGATAAAACCTTTGGACATTGACGAAGTTCAGAACCCATAAAAAGATTCATTGATAACATGGAAAAAGATATGATGGCGAAGAAAGACGACGGATAGAAAAGACTGAACGAAAATTATTAAGGAAGATTTTATTTAGGATAGACCGACATATATAAAAAACTAATCTGATCTATCCGAGTCCTGATCTTTAAGTAATTCTACAATTCTAAACTGTAACATAGTTCTCTTTCCAGCAGGCAATTTACGTAAATTTTCTCCCAACAGCAGCAAAAATGCATCAACGCCGTCAGTTGAAGGTGCGATGTCCTCAGTTTTAAATTTTTTTGTTAAAGGAGTTCCTGTAGGTCTTCTACTAGATCCACTTAGGGGATCAAAATGATCCAAAAATTTCATTTGATGGTAATATCGAAATGATCTCTTCTCGTGCATATAGTTATTTCTAAGATGAGACCACATATTAGTAAGAAAACTAATCGAATATTTTTTCTTAAATACACGATAGATCTGCTCCCAAAGATTTTCAATCTCCATTTTCGACGAGTGAATTGACAAGTCCCAGAGGGGTCTTCTATATGACACTTCAGCAATAAGAATTTCTTCTAAGTTAGGACCATCGTCTCGAAACGCAAATGAGTCTTCAGATTCTAAAATTAAAATGCGCAATGTTTCAATTACTAGTTTGTACACAAAAATATCTGAAGGGTTGCATCGAACAAGTTTAAGAGTAATTTTAATTATTTAACAGACTTTTAAACTGTACAGGTTATGAGCGAGGAATAAAGCAATATGTACTAAATCAAGCAAATCAATAAATGAAGTGAAGGATGGCAATAATACAAAAGAAAAAAAATTCGTTTCTTTTGTGAAAAAAAAAATCTATGAGTACAATCTGTGATAAGTTAAATTTCATGTTTACTATGCAATTAAGTCTAAAATGTTATTATAAGCAAGATATTTGGCGGTTATTGTATTCCAAATTGATGGTTGACTTATTTGGCGTCAATTTGGACAACAACAACCCCCAAACACCTTGGTTATACAAGTAGTATATACAACAGCGTACTATTTTAAAATAATCTTTTTTTAGAACGATTTCCGGAGTGGAAATCGAAACGTCAAATAACAATTATCAAATGTAATTTTCATTACAATAAAATGTGGCTTAATCCCATATAAACATTAAAATAACAAATTGACTTTATGATAAATCGAGGTATTTTTATAAAGTAAAAAAAAAATAAATTAAAAAAAAAACAGCATTAAAGTAAGAGCATTACATTAAAATTACATTACATTAAATGCAAAACAATTTTGAAAAGGAAGGAAGACGAATATTTTGAGGAGGCTGTTTCAATTTTTGAAAAGAATATTTTTCAAATGGGATAATAAAATTACAATAAACTCACACTCTGGACAAATCTTCAACAATGTGTTGCGATAACCTGTACAAGAAATGAGGTTGACATTTAAAGATAATTCAGCAGTTATTTTATAAGATGAAAGAACAAAAGGAACGATCGTCGAATAATTTGGATGTTTACTTAGGAAGAACAAAATCAAGAGAAAGGGAAGATACAAAAAGAATACAGTTTATTCAATAGATTTTAGAGGAAAAGCTTTTCAGTTGTAAACAAAACGTTTACCAATGTTTCATTCTCTGTGTCCCCTGGTAACGTTTAGTCGTAATGTTCGAAGATGTATCCCAAATTATGGATTGTCGCGCCAATTGCCGCAATTAAAGCTTTATATAAGAACTGTATAGGAGGAAATCAGCAGACATACACATTAATAACAATCTTTTAACGGTCCCTTTCGAAAGATTAAGTGGAGTCCGATAGGAATGGGTTTATACTATCTCTTATTTCAACCATTGGGGGTTCAAAGGAATAGTGAGGGGCAATACAAGGTGTTGCTTCCAGATAACACCTTTAGCCTCTCTTAAATTTCTATCCTCACCTCCAAGAAGTGTGATCTTGATCACACGGGTGAACCCCGGTAAACCTGAGCAATCCTATTGGAGATTGGGTAACCAACCCCAATGGAAGGTAGGGTCAGGGTGGACGAGGAAGGGAGAAAGCTTAGCTTGTTCAGAAGCTATAGCCAGCAGCCCTGGCACTGGACTCGGGTGCAATGGGGCGATAATCTGTTCACCTTAAACTGGACTATCACGAATGCTACGGAATAAGGACTTAATGATGGATTTGCGTCTGGGAACCTGGAATGTCCAAACCATGCTACAGGCAGACAAAATGCAAAGTATTGAACATAAACTATTGAAGTACGAAGTAGACATAGCAGCCCTCCAAGAAATCAGATTTAAAGGACATGGTTGCATAAATAAAAAAGAATACAGTATGTACTACTGTGAAGCAGAAAGACAAGGAGATTTTGAAGTAGGTTTTATGGTAAACCATTAATGCCCCAGGTCAGTATTGGGTTTAACTCCAGTTACTGAAAGAATGTGCAAAATACGTCTAAAGGGAAAATTTCATAATATTACAATTATGAAATTTGCCCCAACAGAAGCAGTAGATGAACTAGTAACCGATCAATTCTATGACCAACTACAAGTAGAATGTGAAAACGCACAGAAGAGAAATGCAGTTATAGTCCTGGGTGATATGAACGTGAAACTGGGAAAAGAGCCAATATATGCAGAATCCTTTGGTGAGCATAGTGATATTACCAGCAACAACGGTATAAGAGTGGCACAGTTGGCAATGGCAAACAAACGAGTTGTTAGTACATGTTTCCCCCATAAAAATTATCATAAAGGAATCTGGATGATATCTGGTACTAATAAATTTAATCAAATTGATCACATAATAATATCTAAGCGGTGGGCAACCTCCGTAACGATGTTAGAACTTATAGAGGCGCAAATTGCGATTCGGACCATTTCTTGGTTATACGGCGCCAAACAAAGAAAATGGTACACATATATGTTTAAAAATCCTAAAAAGAAGAATGAGTACCAGCAGAAAATAAAAGTAATATTAAATTAAAGAAGAGAACAAAACAACATTGAGGAAGAATGTTACAAATATGGCAAAGGAAACATTAGGTGAAACCTCAAGCAAAAGAAACGAGGAATGGTTTGACCAAGATTGCCAACAAGTAATAAATAGCAAAAATATAGTTAGACAGAAGTGTCTACAAAGGGATTCCCGATTGAATAGAAGGGCATATGAAGAACTTCATATGCCCTTCAGAAAAGATGCAAAGAAAATATGTAGATGGAAAAAGAGAGAAATTTTGAATAGAAAAATACAACAAATTACAGATTATAATATCAGAGGAGAGACTAGAAAATTTTATAAGGAAACCAAGCAATACAGCCAAGGATACATGACAAGATTAACAGTTTGCAAGAACAAAAATGGGACAATTATCAGCGAGAAAGAGGAAATAATGAAAAGGTGGAAGGAACATTTTCAAGAGCTGTTAAACACAGAAAAAGAACAAAACGAAGATGAAGAAATAATTCACCCCACAGCAGAACAACTAGTTGAGCAACCAACACTGGAAGAAACGATGAACGTCATAAAACATCTAAAAAATAACAAAGCACCTGGCACAGATGGAATATGCAGAACTGATAAAGAATGGTGGATATGCGCCATGGAGGAATATCCATAAACTAATCGACCGCATATGGACACTAGAAATCATCCTAGAAGATTGGAAAGTAGGAATCATACTTCCTATGTACAAAGGGGACAAACGACAAACAAAAATTATAGGGGCATAACAGTTGTAAATGTCGTCTACAAGATATTATCAGGAATTATATACAGCCGCCTGGAATTGTTTTCGGAGGAGATGACTGGTGAATACCAATGTGGCTTCAGACCAAAGAGGTCAACTATAGACCAAATACATATGTTAAGAGGTATACATGAAAAATGTGATGAATATAACATACCTATTTACAACTTGTATATCGATTTCAAACAGGCATTTCATGGAGTAGATCGACAAAAGATGTTAAAGCAACTATCTATGTTAGGGATACCCAATAAGTTGGTAAAACTTATACGAATGACTCTGTAGGGTTCCAAAGCTATGGTGAGAATATATGGAGATATGACGCAGGCCTTTGATATTGAAAATTCAGTTAGACAAGGTGATGCCTTATCAACAAAACTTTTTAATATAACTTTAGAAGCTGTTGTTAGAAAACTGGATATAAACGGCTGTATTAATACAAGATCAATGCAAATATGCGCATGTGCGGATGATGTTGCCATCAGCCGCAACAAAAGGGTATTAAGCGAAAAAGTTATAGAACTGAAACAAGAAGCTGCTACGTTTGGTCTATATATAAATGAAAGCAAAACAAAATATAAGGAGTGCACAAAATCGAATCAACATGAGAACCTGAAGGTAGAAAACAAAACTGAAGTTATGGCTTTTAAAGGAAAAGAACCTGTACATTCCAAAATAATAATAAACCAAGTGCCCATAGAATAGGTGTCACATTTTAACTTTTGACGGTGCGATATAAGTTATGAATATAAAAAAGATAAAACAAATAAACTAAATAAATATCGAATGATGTGTGGTACTATACAAACAACACTACAAAATACAACAAGTAAATAATTTAAAATGAAATTCAATAAAGTGATGGCGGTACCAAAATTGGGAATTTAATATTACATATTTAAACCTCAAAGTTGTTCTATGCAACTATCGATTTAGAAAAAATAAATACATAAATAAATAAATAAATAAATAAAACAAAAAATAAATTAAAATAATCTATATAATAATTATATAGATAATAATAGATTATATAAAAAAAATAAAAATGAAATTCTACAAAGTGATGGCGGTACCAAAATTGGGAATTTAATATTACATATTTAAACCTCAAAGTTGTTCTATGCAACTATCGTTTTAGAAAAAATAAATACTTAAATAAATAAATAAAACAAAAAATAAATTAAAATAATCTATATAATAATTATTAAAATAAATAAATAAATAAAAAAAGTCACAAAAACTTAACAAATAACGTGTTTAGTTCCGATATAATTATCATACTCGTACTACCCACAAAGAGCCCAAACTTTCTCATAGACAAGGCGAAAAGCTTGGGTTCGTCCGGAAAAATATTCCCATGTATTTTTTTTATAATAATATCATAATCACTTTATATGTATATACCCCAGAATAAGGTTCAAGAGGTCGTCCAAGCGAAGAGTGGTCCTAATTTATTACAATTTTTCGGCCCGAACAATTTTTTAGGTTTTTTTTTATCATTCTTGAGTTTTTGATGTTTGTAACGTTGCCAGATTTACCATCTTTCTGATAACATTAGTCACAATTGGTTTATCCGATTTCGTATAGTCAGGGACATATTAAAAAGATAACAAAAGCCTAAAATCGCATAATCGTCTCAATAATTGTTTTGATCCAAACTATGTACAACTAAATTTGAATATAATAATTAAAAAACTTACTATAAAGTAAAATACTTGTTTTGTAAAGTGGTATAGTTTACTACAAAATTTTAAAAATGATCCAAAACGTATTTATTCATTTTGGGAACATTTTCAATCCTATCGGATCATCATGAATGAAAAACCTCTATAAAGTAATTGGAACTAGCCGCATAATGAGGTCAGATGACCCTTAA